CAAAACTGGTTCGAATTGTGGCTCACGTTTTACGCTTTATTCAAAGGACCAAGGCTAGCAAATCAGGCACGCTGTCAAGTGGAAAAGGGCTCACCTTTGAGGAGATCCACGCTGCTCGCATTCTTTGTCTTCAAGTGGCTCAGGCAAGTTTTAAGGATGATAAGGCTTTACTATTGGAAAATAAGCCACTTCGGAGCCGCTCCCAATTGATCAAGCTTTCACCGATTGTCTGCAAGAACGGCCTTCTTCGAGTCGGTGGACGACTAAGGCATTCCCAGCTACCAACTGATGTCAAACATCCTATATTGCTTCCGAAATCGCACCGCATCACAAGAATGATATTGGAACATGAACACACTGTAAATCTTCATCCAGGAGTTTCTGCTTTGTTAGTCATTACTCGTCAAAAATATTGGATTTTTGGAGCGCGTAATCTTATAAGGAATCTGGTGCACAAATGTATCAAATGCTTTCGCCAACGTAATGCCACAGCGCAGCAATTCATGGCCGATCTCCCAGGCATTCGAATAACAGAGGCACTACCCTTCCAGCACTCAGGCTGTGATTACGCTGGACCATTCATTTTGAAGGAAAGAAGAGGACGTAATCCCCGAAAGACTAAGGGCTACATATGTCTGTTTGTCTGCCTTGTAACGTCAGCCATTCACTTGGAGTTGGCCACCGACCTTAGCACAGACACCTTCTTAGCCTGTCTCCGACGTTTTATGTCTCTTCGAGGAAAATGCTCGCAGATCTTCAGCGATAATGGCACAAATTTTGTCGGTGCCAAACGGATTCTAGACGACATGCAAGAACTTTTATTTTCAATCAAGTGGAGCTTCATACCGCCACATTCTCCGCACTGGGGAGGAAAGTGGGAGTCTTCAGTACGCTCCGTGAAACTACACCTTCGACGCGTCGTGGGAAAATCCATTTTAACGTTTGAACAAATGCAAACCCTGATTGCTCAGATTAGTGCGATTGTGAACTCGCGACCGCTTTGCTATACACCTGATACTGATCTCACATATTTGTCTCCAGCTCACTTTCTCATCGGACGCCCATTCACAACTGTTCCAGAAGGTGATCTATCTCATTTGCCTATCAGTCGCTTGGACTACTGGCAGCACCTGCAATCGATGTATCAGGGATTTTGGAAACGCTGGCACCAGGAGTATCTGACAACTTTGCAACAACGTCACAAGTGGAACAATAAGGAACCTAACATCGCAGTGGATAATATTGTTCTTGTAAAGGATTCAAATCTCCCACCAGCAGCTTGGATACTGGCTCGTGTAGTGGAAGCACACCCAGGACCAGATGGACTTGTACGCGCCGTAAAGCTTAAGACGTCTACCGGAGAGATGACCCGACCCATCACCAAGCTAGCAATACTCCCCAATTCAGAAACCATGTTTCAGGGCGGCCCGGGATGTTGATGAACGCATTGCAGCTGTTATATAAACATATTTCAGTATTTTTATTTGGTATATTTTGTGCTGCGACACACTAATTTTGGTATTGGAAGAGATCGAGTTTTTAGTATGTAACAAGAAAATACAAGAAAAGGAACCATGTGTAATTTTAATAAAGAAAAAGCTCAAATTTAAATACAGTCCACTTGAAGGGGAAATAAGGTGTTGTCTTATGACATCTTATTCTGCACCAAAAATAAATAATAATAATTTAAGGTTCAACCAACCTGTTTATAATAACAAGAATAACGGTTTTAATAAAAACTCAAATATTAGGTTGTTTGGGCTGCGTAAATAGTTGTCGATATCTATCGCTTTATCAGAGTTGCGTAAATCGTTATCGATTGTTTGTCCAGGGTTGCGTGGATAGTTATCGATTGCCCGCGCATTTGAAATAAGTTACTTATTGTGTTTTTTGTATTTATATTTACAGAAGAATCCGGTTATAGCGACTTTCAAGGGACCGACGATTACACTGGTCAACACAAGTCTTGTTTCCTTTATTTTTTTTATCTGTTATTGGGTATTTCTATGGCCCTGAGTATGGAAAAAATACTGGAAGATTGCTAACAGCTTCAGTTTTTGAAATATAGAGTTTTATTATTTTGATAAAAAAGAACAGAAAATTAATAAATGATGTTAACAAAATTTCTATTGAACACTATCAAATGATCTTTTATACGATTTTCTGGAATGGACGACTTTAGGTAGATCACGTTGCAAACTCCAGCAGTAGTCTGCCATCATATGTGAGTCCCACCGCCCCTGATACCGCTCTTCCATTGTTCGAAGATCCTGATGAAATCTTTCACCCTGCTCCTCACTAAAATCACCCAGATTTTGTGGAAATCGGTCTAAATGTGAGTGCAGGAAGTGGATTTTTATGCTCATGTTGCACCCTAACTCTTGCAAGTTCGATAGCATGGACTCAACAAGCTCGACGTGGTTGTCAGATTTCTTTTTGCCTAGGAAATTACTCATAACCAAAACGAATGACGCGAAGTCGGAGAAATAGTGAATAAAAAGTGAATTTTATAACGTTTAACCAAGTTCTGCTCGCGTTCTTCATTATTCAACAAACTTTGGTTTGTGATTTCTGGAAGACCCGCCCCACGACTAATCAATAGTAATGGAGGGTAGTTAGCTGTAACTCAAAAACAAAAGCTGTTAGAGAAAAACTGTTACCATATTTTAAAAATACACGTTATTTTGAGAAAGAAACACAAAAAAATTAAAGGAAACAAACGATTTTATTTTTTTTGTTGACCAGTGTTATTCGTTGTTATACCCGGAAGACGCACTAAGCAAAAGGAACAACAAATTTTTGTTTGTTTGTTTATTTATGGTTGCTGACTCGTAAAAGGTTTTTAAAACAAATCAAATTAATTTTTTAATTTAATTTAATTAATTTAATTTAATAAATTTTATTCAAAAATATGGGTTTCTCATAATACTAAAAACTGAATGAGCTTATTTTTGTACACATTGCATTTGGCGAATTTACACATTTAGTTTTACCTGGAAAAAAGCAGAAAAAACTAGAAATATAACGGGACATCTCATGGAATAAGCTATAAGGTCTGCACACGCAGTGTGCATCGGCATTGCACTTCGACTCTCTCTCTCTCTCGCAGCAGCGTTGTTAAAGCGACAGAAAAAACTAACAGACAGTGCCTAACAAGGGTGCCGATCACTGATAAATACAGGGTGGGCCATTTAAAGTTGACCCACTTGATTCTTAAAACAAAAAAAAAAAAGTGGACAATTTTTTTTTTATTCCAAAAATCATTTATTTTGGTCCAAGGAGATTTTTTACAAATTATTATTAAAAATGATATCACGTAAATGGGCACCTTTAGCTCTGACAGCCGAATGCATTCTTTTTTCAGCATTTTCCATGACTTTGGTCAATGTTTCAGACGAAATGGCGGCTATTTCACGTCTAATGTTGTCTTTTAGTTGACTTAAGGTTTTTGGTTTATTAGCGTATACCTTGGATTTCAAATATCCCCACAAATAAAAGTCTGGTGCCGTCAAATCTGGTGATGTTGGGGGCCAGTCAAAATCACCACTTTTCGATATCAACCGCCCAGGGAACAATGTTCGCAATAAATCGATTGTTGCTCTAGCTGTATGGCAAGTTGCCCCGTCTTGTTGAAACCAGAAGTTATCCATGACATTTTCACGAATAATAGAGTAGTGCGAGCGATGCCTAATTCCTGAGATCGTCGATAAGTCGATGTCGTAGGAGTCTCATCAATACTGGCTCGTACAGCTTCGATATTTTCATTAGAACGTCTTGTTCGTTGCCTGTATACATGACTGGCATTACTTAGATTACCGGTGTTTACAAATTTTGCGTACAAAGACTTAATTGTATTTTTAACTGGAGCACTTTTAACTTTATTCATGTTACGAAACGCACGTTGGCTTAACACAATTGAGAATTTATTTTCAATGTAGAGCTGAACAATTTGAGCGCGTTCCTTTGAAGTGTATTGTTCCATGGTATCAATTGTCTTCGACTGACGCTTCCAACGTAGTATGACATTTGACGATCTGTCGACGCTGTCAAAAGTTACAGGGTTGCCAAATGGGTCAAATTTAAATGGCCCACCCTGTACATACATTTCATACAGCGTGTTTTTAAGCACTGTATTTTTTTCGGCACGAAGCAATATCCGGTTGAATTTTTTTAATTTTTTTTTTGAAAAATTTTGTTTCTATAAGCGGTTTGTCGCTAAAAGCGGAAACGCATTAGGCGGAGGCCCTTTCATATATGTTTGTATGGGGACCAACCAAACCATCTAGTTTTCGGCGCACAACCTGGATGGACATTATAAGCGGAGTCGTTATAATAGGATTCTACTGTATTTATTTATTTATTGTGGCGGCGGGCCGTCACACTATCAATCATACGCCCAAGTTGCTGCAGGAAATAATAATACGAATACCTCTCTAGAAAGAATAGATCATCTCTTAGAAAAGCAATTTGAACTCACCAATAACTTACTTAACATGACAATATTACTGGTCAATAAACTATGTAAATAAGTCTAAACTTAGGAATCTGGAACGCCAATGGGCAACCATGTTAATAAGATATCTGTTCAGAGGAATGCAACTAATTTGTTGCTACCGCTTTGTGCACTTCCAAAAAAAGGCCAATGTTTTGCGATTTAAATGAGATGTGGTTTTATATTTGTGTCTCTGCGTGTTATTTGTTTGTTCTTGTGTACAATGTTTGTGCGTTTTGCGCTTACAAGATCGCGACCGACAACTTGCTTGCGAGGTTTTTGCGAGTACGAACGAAAGATGTAAATCGGTTAAGAGTTGCGATAAGAAGTGATGATAAAGAAGATAGATAAAAACAAGATAAGCAAAGTTAGGCGCGATTACATTATGCGGGTGTTGGTAAACAACTTTACGTTTGCGTTACGTTACGTTAGCAGTTGGAATTTGAATTTAGGATAGAATTTACAAACTAGGGGTTCTGCTCCGAACATGCTCCCCCCGCTGGAAGAGTCACGCTGACAGACGAGGTGGTCTCAAAGGGCAGAACGGCCAACTTGCCAACAGCTCTTCTGATGATGCCTGCAGCTTTCCAAATGAGTTTTGAAATTTGCAATCGTATGGGATATCCTGCTTCTCGGTTACAACTAAAACCATGCGACGACGTTCAGGCAAGTCGTCCACAATAGGCGCTTTATTTGGCCAGCACGATGAATCCGAACGTAAAAATGGAGGTCCCTCTCGCCATAGGTTCGACTCCAAGAGCTCGAGAGGTGAACATCCACGCGATAATATATCGGCAGGGTTCCAGTGTGTTGGTACATGACGCCATATCATGCCTTTGGTGAGATCCTGAATCTGCGGCATTCTGTTGGATACAAAGATATTAAAATCTGATGGAGGTTTACGAATCCAAGAAAGCGTTCTGGTTGAATCAGACCAACCATAAAAATTACAATCCGATGAAATGGTTAGGGCAATGTTTGAGATGAGCTCTGATAACAATAGCGCTGCGCATAATTCCAATTTTGGTATAGTGAGGGTTTTTAGGGGCGAAACTCTAGATTTGGAACAGAGTAAATGAGTTGAGACACAGCCATGAATTTCAGATCTGACGTAAACGCAGGCGCCATACGCTGCTAAACTTGCGTCACAAAAAGCGTGTATCTCCAACGACGAGTTGGGCTGCATAACGAAACTAGGAAATTTTCTCGCGATCAATTTCTGCTTCGCCTTCTAAAGCTGCTGCCTCATTTGAACACCATTTTCGAATTGGAAAATGACCCTTGGATAGCAATTCCTTCACCTGCTCACGAATTTGAGCTGCTCCTCGATCGAGTCACCTCCAGATATGAGATCGTCTACATAAAAGTCTCTGCGAACTATTTTGGCTGCCAACGGGAACTCAGCTTTCTCATCATAGGATAGCTGCTGCATAGCACGAATTGCCAGAAATGCAGCCGGCTTAGTGCCGTAGGTAACCGTATCGAGCGTATAAGCCTTGACTTGTTGATTTGGGTTGTCACGCCATAAGATAGACTGCAAATAGTTATCAGGGCTAGTGACACGGACACATCGATACATGTTGCAGATGTCCTCGCATAATGCAACTTTGAAAAAACGAAAACGAAGCAGTGTGTTGAAGATTTTGGGCTGTATTGAGGGACCTGCAAACAACAAATCATTTAAAGAGTATCCTGAGGTCGTTTTAGCTGAGCCATCGAATTCAACTCGTAACTTTGTGGTTGTACTATCTGGCTTCTGCACACAATGATGAGGCAAGTAATATTGCGAGCTTACTGATTGCTCAGAAGCAAGTGACATATGCTGTAGATCGATAAATTCTTTGATGAATGCAGCGTATTGCGACTTCAATTCCAAATCCTTGAGCAATTTGCCCTCTAGCGTCTTAAATCGACGTAAGGCACGACCGTATGAATCGCCGAGCATATCAAAACTGGCTTTGGCAGGCAAACGAACTGAGTATTGCCCTGAACTGAGTCGAGAAAAGGTATTCTGAAAAGGTATTTCCGATTGGATGACGGGCTCAGTGGTCACTGCAAGTGCTAATGCCTCATATTTGAGAACGAAATCCCTCCAGATGCGATCCAGCCAAGACGCGTTTTTTGCAAAATGGGCAGATTTTCGGCTAATCGCATTTGCCCAACGCAAAGCAATTCGTAAAAGATGCCAGCTCATATTAACAAATCGATACGCTGACTACTGTAGAACCACGGATCAGCAAGAGCAAGATTTGGTGGTATGTTCCACCCTAGGGCGTTTAAATCAAAATGAGGTTGATAATCCGTAATTTTGCCACTGATTACTACAGTCAGTGCTGTACGATATTTTTTATCCCTGGTGTGTGCTTTGAGATCGACGGTTGCGTTTGATGAAAATGATGATTCACCAACTCCAGAGATAGATGTGTTTGCTTGACGAGTAGTGAGTTGCAACTGCTTAACGAAACGAGAAGTTACGATGTTATGTGCGTGCGGCAGGCCTCGCTTTTGCCATTCGATTGAATACATCCAGCATCGAGTATCTCCAAAGACGCGTTGTTTAACAATAAAGTTCTTCAGAGACCGAATTTTTTGCCTGAAAATACGTGCTGTGATGTCGGGTCTATCATTTGATGTTTGTCCAGGAAGCAGCAATTGAGTAATTTCTATCCATTTTGGATTACAGGTAAAAGTAATAAAAAGATCTGGCCGACCGTAATGACGAACATATGTCATTGCATCTTGTGCATATTCATGCATATGACGTGGACTACCAATGTACGTCGCTGGCAGAATAGTTAGTCGCCCAATATTAGCTGCATTTTCTTCAGTACTAACTGCATCACGTAAATGGATGTACTCCTCAGAACGCAGTTTGGATTGGTTCAACCTAATGAATGTTAAACGTTCAGTTTCTATTTTTACATACATGTCAACGCAGTACTGCTGAAACAATCGACGAAACCGCAGCAAATAGTTGTCAGTATTTTGACGAATCATCAAACGATATGCGTAATAATTCATTGAGCTTACTTTCTTTGTAGTTTCTTCACCTGAAATTAAAAATTTTATAATTAACCATTTCAAATGCAAATTTTAAAGGCAAAGAATACACCATTAGCCATTTTTTTTAATAAGCATTATTTTAAATCAGTGTCTTTTAAAAATAAATGAAATAAATTATGATACTAATACTCACCATTCAATGGATTAATCATTTTAATATTAAAATAATATCCATCTTCTCCTTGCCAAAACATTAGCGGGTATTGCAACGCGTCATATGATCGATGAGTTTCAGATATTTGTTGCAGTTGCCCAGTATCGCGACGTTTAAGCACAATATCGCGGTTTCCAAATTGTTCACCAACAATCAGGATGGCGACTTCGTCTATTGTTGGAGCATTAAATGTCCTTTTGTGTGTTCCAGATGGTCGTTTATCTGCTTTTATGACAACTTTATAGTCATCATTTGGCATGCGCTCTAAAGCACTCTTAAACAACCTGACCATCGCATGATGTTCATGAAGCAGACACTGCATGTCTTGAAGAATTGCTCGCTTCATCCCTTCATTGATCGCTAGACGTCGATCAAGTTGTTCTTCCATGTTGCCCATGAAATATATTTGTAAAAATTTTTTTTGTGTATCTTCGAAAGGTAGTAATGATCCAATTCGATGGTGAATCTGCCCTTGTATCTAAGATAAAGTAAGTTATTCTTTAACTATATTCTATGTAATACAAACAAAAAAAAAACCTTAAATGTCGGATTAAATCCTCGTTCTTCGATAATATCTGCCCCAAATGACGTCATTTGGAAACAACCATTGTATTTTCGGGTATTTGCAAGAAAGTGGCGTGATTCTTGTGTTTCACCACAAAGCAACGAATACAATGGCTCAGGTGGCGGAGTCAACAATGGCAATTTAACTTTACCATTAAAGCAGCATAATCCAGGCGTTTCTCCGGAAAACTTCAGTGCACCGCAATACTCGCAAACAACGTCCATTTGCCCAATGCAAACGCTAGGATGCAAGCTGTAATCAGTGATGCAATCGTATTGAAACGCTGCTCGATTCAAATCAGCACTTGATAAATTTCTTCTGCGTCGCAAATGATCTATTTCTTGACCTCTGTTGTAAGCTCGACGATTCTGCATTGTCAACCGAGCCGTATTACGGATTGCCTCTCTTTGCTCTGCTGATTGAGAAGCACGAAGTCGACCTATTCTAACGCGGTTCTGTTCACGTTCAATGTTTTGTTCTTCTTCAGACCTTCCATTTGCAGTATTTTGTAGTCTTCTTGCATTACGGCTTTGTCGGGAAAGATTCGATCGTCTTGGTCGCGGCATTATTAATTAAACTTCCCTTCACTTCAATTCACAAAAAGCACGAAAAACTTCACTTCACTTCAATTCACCAAAATCACAAATAATTTCTACTCACTTTAAAAAAATTGAGTTAAAATGCTATGGTAGTGTGTGCTTGTCAGTTTGATGAGGTAATAACTCAGTTTATATGCGATTTTTGGTATGTCGAACGGAATAAAAAGTACCCTAACTCCTATTCCGGGCTCTAAGCTACCTTCCTACCAATTTTCAGCCAAATCTGTTCAGCCGTTCTTAAGTTATAAGTGGTGGAACTAACACAACTTGCTTTTATATATATAATATAGATATAGATATATAGATATATATGTTTGCAGGCCTCTTCACCGAATTGCGAAGTGGTGTCCAAATGCACTGATAGGCCTTTTCACCGATTTGTGAAAACGAAAAACGAAATAAAAAACACACCCCACGTAGATCACGTCGGGGTCACCAAATGTTCAGAGGAATGCAACTAATTTGTTGCTACCGCTTTGTGCACTTCCAAAAAAAGGCCAATGTTTTGCGATTTAAATGAGATGTGGTTTTATATTTGTGTCTCTGAGTGTTATTTGTTTGTTCTTGTGTACAATGTTTGTGCGTTTTGCGCTTACAAGATCGCGACCGACAACTTGCTTGCGAGGTTTTTGCGAGTACGAACGAAAGATGTAAATCGGTTAAGAGTTGCGATAAGAAGTGATGATAAAGAAGATAGATAAAAACAAGATAAGCAAAGTTAGGCGCGATTACATTATGCGGGTGTTGGTAAACAACTTTACGTTTGCGTTACGTTACGTTAGCAGTTGGAATTTGAATTTAGGATAGAATTTACAAACTAGGGGTTCTGCTCCGAACAATATCTTTATTTTTAAAAACAAATTCAATCGACATCATGCTTGTTTCAGAAACACACTTCACCAGTAAATACTTTTTAGAGTTGTTGGATATGACACAATAACCGCTAATCATCCGTCTGATAGAGCCTATGGAGGCGCAGCAGTTCTTGTGAAGAAGGGTCTGAAATTTAAAATTATGGACAGGACTGGAAAAAATGCTATGCAGGCTGCCACAATTGAGATTAAATGCATGCACGCAGATGTCTCAATCTCAGCAATATATCTTCCACCAAGATTTACACTAAAAGAGCTCGATTTTAAAAACTTTTTTCAAGGACTGGGGACAAAGTTTATTGTTGGAAGCGACTTCAATGCCAAACTCCCATGGTGGGGCTCCAGACTAATTAACCCAAACAACTCTCTCAACTCGTAAGCCTACTTACTGGCCTCCAGATACTCGAAAAACTCCAGACTTGATTGACTTCGTAGCATTCTCTGGTATCCCACAAACACACATGCGCTTAATGGAAAATTTCGATCTTAACTCAGATCACTCTCCGATGATAGCGACCTATACCACAATAGCTCATATGCTTGACAAGCCCTATAAAGTCATCTCTGCTTCCACAGACATTAACGCGTTTAAAACTACTGTAACGTAGTTTCCTGGCTGGGATAAGACTCAGTCTGTCCAGGATCGCTTACAGAAAATTTATATCTGCGGGACTGTTGGAAATTTGGTAGAGGGTGAGCCGACTGAGATGGAGGTGTCGGGCTCACGGTAGTGTTTGCAAAGAGGAGGGAAAATATGGGAAACAACTGATGCTGGTCGCCGGTAGCAGTTGCCAGGGAAATGTGGCACACACGGGTGCAGAGGCCATGCGCCTGGCTGCGATCACCGGGATCCACGTGGGAGGGAAGTGGCACGCGCGGGAGCAGAGGCTGGTCGCCTGGCTGCAGTCACCGGGATCCACGTGGGGACGGGACGTGGCACGCAAGCGGGAGCAGAGGCTGGTCGCCTGGCTGCAGTCACCGGGATCCACGTGGGAGGGAAGTGGCACGCGCGGGAGCAGAGGCTGGTCGCCTGGCTGCAGTCACCGGGATCCACGTGGGGGAACAGTGGCACGCACGGGAGCAGAGGCTGGTCGCCTGGCTGCAGTCACAGGGATCCACGTAGGAGGGAAGTGGCACGCGCGGGAGCAGAGGCTGTACGCCTGGCTGCAGTCACCGGGACGCGCACGGGAGGGACGTAGACGGGACCCTGAAATTAAGAATTACTACTGGCTCTAACTACTGGGCACGAGGAATTAAATACGCAAGCGAGGTTCTCCAATTTCATGTACAAGTGTTTATTTTGATGCTATGATAGTGGTCCCTGCCTATACCGCACTCCTTGTGTTTTAGCACTAATCACTCAGACAGACTTAGCAGGCTCGGGACTTGGGTGATCCTCGGCGATGCTGGAGCGGGGCCTCGGTCGGCGGCGGTAGTTTCCGTCTCGATCGTCTTGTGTCTCAAACGGAAAAGAAAAGTGGCGGCGCGGAACCTGCCACACGATGCGGTGCTCGGTGGGTGTTCGCGGCGCCAGAGGTGTGCGATGCGCGGTGCAGTTTCAAGGGCTTCCAGAGTTTAGGGGTTTTGTTCACTTTCTTCGCGGAACTTGCGACGGGGCCTGGCACGTGGTCCAGATTCGCGGAGCGCAGAGCCGTGTCGAACGGGTGCTGAAAGACGTCTCGTCAAAGCTGGGCCTCGGAGATAAGTGATTTGCTTTCTGACACCGAACTAATTGCCAGCCAAAGTTCTTGCACTTCGTTTGCTTCTCTGCCGGCGTCCTCTGCCCTCTGCTCGCGTGATCGGCGCTTACATATTTTAGTGCGTTGCAATTATATTGCATACGCTCTCTCTTGCTTAGCCGCCCTCTGCTCGCCCGAACGGGGCCTGCCCTTTCATAGCGTAAGTCGTCGCAGTCGTATTTTGTGCTTCTGCTTTCGCTCTGCCGCCCTCTGCTCGGGTGATCGGCACCTGCGTTTGTCCATCCGAGTGCGTCGTAGACTTAATTTCGAATGCTCTCTCTCTGGTTCTGTCGTTTTGTAGGTCAAGTTCACGAGGCTCTCTTTCTCAATTTATCTATGCATGCGTTTAAGACTTCGGCTCGCTCTGGGTCTCCACGTCGTTGTACTCTCCCCGCCCCTTGCCGCTTAGAGATGCTCTTGTGGTTAACTTATACTTATTTATTAGCAATAACAAAATAATGGGAAAACTTCATGATCTTAATTCGATTAGCTAAATGACTTGACTTCATAACTTAATTCTACTAATTATGGTCTTAACTCTAAACAAAAGAAGGAATAGAAAATATGTACATGTATGAAAATTTTGTGGCCCAAATTGGGCCGTTGGTGACCTCGTTCTTTTTATTTATCCTTACTCGGTAATGTTGACCGTTCCCGGACTCCAATACTCGGATATTGCGTCCTTGATTACGGGCAACCCGTGCCTGTAGTTTCCTCAGTACGTGCTTGGGTATCCTGTGCGGCTCAGCGATATGCATCCTCCAGGCTGCTGGGATTGGGACCCACTCGCTTCGGTGCGTTCGGTCGGTGATGGGTCTTGGAGGTCTGGACCAAATGGATTCCACCTGTGGCATCAAGGCGCGTTCTCCGCTGACCCTCTCGGCGTCGTTCGCTGCACGCTGCGTCCGTCGGGCTCCCTCCCGCCGCTGAGCTTCGGCCGAGGTGCAAGGGCCATCTTCGTCCACGTCCATGCGTAGACACCGGACGGATTCGTCTTCCGAGAACGTCCTTCTGGCGATGCACCCAAAGGTGGGATTTTCTGCCCGAGCTTCCTCCGTGGTCGATGTGGCTTGAGGTACCGGCGCAACAATCTCGGGTTCCTGGAAACCCTCCCAGGATCCGTAGGCTGGCGGGGGGTCTTCGTCGGTCGGCTCGGACCCGTACGCTGGTGGGGGGTCATTGTTGACGGGCCCCGCGCTACGAGGTGTCTCGTCGTCCTCGTCGACGCTAATATCCACGACCTCTACCGTGTAGGGTTGGGGTGGACGGGTCTCCAAGTCTTCAGTGAGATCGCTGGTACTTCCGCTCAGTTCTGCGATCGGGGTATGTCCGAAAACCTCTAGCATCGGGCTGATCGTTCGGCGATTTAAATTCGGGAACCTGCTTGTCCGGAGTGGTACCTCCTCCTCATCA